CAAACTAACATAACAAGCCATGCACGCACCACGTCCGCCCGGCTAAGCCTGAGCTTGTGGCTCAGGTTCCAAGGGGCCATCCTTGGTGCAATGGAAAAAGGCCCGTCCGCGGATGCCGGTCAAACGTTGCATGAAACATGGATGTAGCAAGTCGACAGTGTACTACAATAGCAGTGTATCCTGGTTGGTGGTTTCAACATGTTTCAACCCCTCTGAAAAATATGAACATCAGTTGGGATGATGAAATTCCCAATATATGAAAAGATAATCCAAATGTTCCAAGCCGCCAACCAGTATCTGTTCATCATCACTTGAAATCAGCTTGTAATCGAACTTGGAAAATCGACGAACATCGAATGAACATCGAACTAAATGAGGGAATTCTCCGCTGCTATATTTGATGACACCGGGTATCTACGGCAAACAAACAACACATGTGGGCAACATCTCAGAGAAATGGCTGTGGTTTCAGTCAGACTTTTGACACTTGAGAATGTCCATGACTCGTGAGGAGAACTATAGACTATAGCTTTGAAAACTTACAGTAGCTACAGCAATGATTGTGCGGCATCCCCGAGACACGGATATCATTCCAGAGCCTTGTGACAATATGGGTGTCTTTATCAGAAGGTACCCCAAGATCCGGTGGTATATTAATCATATTAATCATATTCCTCATAAAAGTTGCAATATGTTGCCATACCCCAATTTTAGACACAACCGCAGCAGAATCTCCGAAATCCCATCATTACCTTCCAACCCAGTCGGTGGCGCAAGTTAAGCTTCTCACCAGGAGTCTGCGCTTCCTCTCTTCCGGGTTGCGCAAGGGACCTGTCGAAGAAGAAGTCAAAACCCTGGTGCGGCATCCTGGTGAACATCAAGTTAATGTTCGTAGATGCATGTCCCCAAGTATGGTATCATAGGTTTTGGCCCACCTCTACAACAAGAGGTTAAATGGCAATTGAATACATTCCACATTAGTTGCAAATCATCTGCACATGAAACTGTTACATATGAATAGACACCATGGCACATCATCAAATTTATCTCCACAACTACCCAGAAACACACATGACCCCACTTTGGGACCTGCATCTCAAGTGGATGAAAGGAAAACTTGCAGTTGAAATCCCGGATCTTTGGTTATTGTCACACCATCGTTTTCTGTAAATCTTCTCTTTAACATAGATCCATTGACAGCACCATGTGCTGCAAAAGCAGCCTCTGAGATATGCTGAGATGCTGACCCACGCTCTCCGGACCATCTTCTGGGGAAGGACCTCTCTTTGGGCCTCCACCAGTCTGGTCTTCACCCAGAGATTCTAAGGCTTGGAAACAATGGCATTTTGACCGCAGAGGTTCATCAATTTAGCAGAGGAATGTCCTATGACATATATGGCTTCAATGTACACTAGACGTTGGCAAAATCAGCATATGAGGGTTTTCTAAAATTGGGGATCCCCAGGTCACTATGGGTTTCGCTAAAACGGTCGAATTTTCATGATTTGAGGGCACCGCTATTTATAGGAATCTTCCATATAAATCAGGGCAATTTCCACAAGAGAAGAGCCCCAAATTCAGACCCTGCGATACAGGCCTGGTTCCAGAGGGCCATCCTTAGCACTGCTATAGGATCACTATATAAGTTGCCACTGTCATAATAAGAAACAATTCTTCAAAATCCGGCCGCCAATAAAACTTTTCAATTTATGATAAATCTCCCATTTTCATGGTTATCCCAAGAACGTGCTTTTTCACATCAGCTTCCAACTTCCAGCAAGTTGTCGCATAGCGGTGGCGCAGTACTGAGCCTCGCGCAAGGAGTTTGCGCTTCCTCTCGTCGGGGTTGCGCAAAGAACCTCAGGTGGCCAAAGTCTATCCCGGAGCCAAGAGGAAATTTGAGCTGATCTTTTTTTTTATAGGGTAAAATACTTTGTTTAAATAATGTTTGTGGGATATGTATGTATATCTATCTATATATATATATATACATATTGTATTCCTGACATTCTGTGTGCATCTGCTATTGTGAATTTGCATATGTTCTTAGATTTGGATCCATTTTGGCAGCATATCCGTGTAAATGTGTGCGCTCCTAAATATTTCATTACCTAGACAATTTCTCATGTATATCAATCTACACATTTAATACATGAGTCTGGGTCAAAATCATCGCCCCAAAACTGTTAGACCATAATATCTGGTTGGTGGTTTTAACCCCTCTAAAAAATATTAGTCAGTTGGGATGATTATTCCCAATATATTGAAAAATAAACAATGTTCCAAACCACCAACCAAATATTATATATGTGACAATACCATATTTCCATACAATACCTAGACCCTCCAAATACAACCCAAAAAATAGTAAAAGTATGTAAAAGTCTTACATGTATGGGTAAAACACATTTTTTAGGGTACAAACGGAGGGTCTAGGTATGCTATAACTTATTACTACCATCATTATACCCAAATCACAGATAATTGTGGTTCCACCAAATGTCTTCCCGCGACTTGACCCAGGGGTCCCCAACAAAAAAACAACAACAGAATCCTGTTACCCAGTTATGGTGATCTTAGGGCTTGTTTATGGCTTTACCACATTGTTAATCTGGTTGGTGGTATACCTACCCCTCTGAAAAATCATGGAGTTCGTCAATGGGATTATTGTTTCCAATATATGGAAAAATAATCCAAATGTTCCAAACCACCAACCAGTAATTATCGTTTTCCCATGGATTTCCCATGGATTTCCCATTGACCACGGGAGACCCCTGAGATCCCCTGACCGGCGCTATAGCCGTCACCGGAAGACGGCCCGTCTTCCGGAGACGGAGCGTGCCTCTTTGGGCCTCTTTTGAGGTCAGGTATGGTCTGAAATCAGGAGTGATTCTGAAACACTCATGGAGGTTTACGGTGTTTTGTCATATCTGCTAGCATATACTACAGCTATGATCTGAATCGAGGGATACACGATTTTTCACAGGCAGGTTGGCCACATTACCTCGAGGTCACTGGAATCCATGAGTCCCTGTTTTCTTTGCACCCCTGGCTTCTGACATCTTCTGGAACCTTGAAATGGCTATGTTCAAATACCGCAAACATTTTACATAGCTAGATGTGTTAGTAGATATTAAACCGTATTAATGCTACATCACGTTTTCTAAATAGCTACATGTTCCATAGCTACAATGACCATTCGCAAGTGGCCCACGGTTTCAGAGCCTGGTTCCAGTTTGGCCTTACGGATCCTGGGGAATCAGCTGCAATATCAGTAAGCTACCAGTTTACTATCGAAAAGCCACCATTTCTGGCTCATTTTGAAAGGGGGAAGCCATAGATTTTCATGGCTATGTTGGTTTAAACATGGTTTCCCGGAGGCCACATCTTAGGGATTTTGATATCTTTGAAACCCCAAAGCACTTCGCGCACTGCCCTGGTGTTGGAATGTGTTGGATAGATCCGCTTCCATTTTGGTCAAATCTCCTGGTCTAGGCTAGTTGCGGCTAGAGAAAAACAACCAACCCTGGATCGACAGGAAAATAAGATCCATATCCCACATGAGAATCAATGCGGTTCCCCAAATTTTCAACAATATATATATAGTCACTCATTGCATCTATATGTCCGTTTCATTCATTTTCCACCCATCAAAAAATCCAAATCAAACCAATGTAATGATTACAACTAGGAATGAACAATTACAGCCAAAGAGTACTTCGTGAAATATGAAACACCAACCACCAAACATCTATACACCTACAGAAATGAATGATGGATTGAACTGCAGGACATAGTATGAGCAGTGGCCAAAAAACCCTCTGTGATTCTACTTGTTATATATTCGATTATTATATACTGTATATTACTGCACTGTATTATATTTATATAACAATATAATCCTCAACCATGTAAAACTTTATTTTTGGCATTGCTCATGTAATTAGCTTAGTATGGACAGCCTTCCAACAAGATGAACCATGTCCTCTTGGATTCGTCCGGAACATCGTCAGGGTCGTTGTTGTTGGAAGCATGAACCTGAAGGCCGACTTGAGATCCACCAGTCCAAGCACTGTCGTTTTTTCATCGTTAGAAGTAAGCTTCCGTCTACGAAAATCCTCCAATGGCGAATAGCTAGTATATAATATATATATATATGTTAGTATCAAACAGTTCAGTTACCTACTGCAGACAAACCAAATGTGCATCTTGTTCAACGCTTCCGTGAAGCCCCGTGAAGCCGGCTGAGAAGGGTACCGCTTTTCTCTCCCCCTTATCCTCGTCGGACTTGCTTTGTGATGGTGACCCAAAAACATCAACAAAAAATCACATGGTCTCACCAGAAAAAGCGCAGCAAAACACATTATATCACATTAGTATGTATAATATAATAAACTGGGATATTTAATATTAACATTATAGAAATTATATAATATGAAAACGCTTAAAACAACTGATGAATCTGATCGTTCAAAAGCACTTACTCGGTACTGAGGACATCTCTATCCGGTCGGCAATCCTCAGGTTGTCAGCTGCTAAAACGCAGACACATGCCGAAAAAAAAAGGATTCAAACCTGCAATCAGTCACCAATTTGGGTTTGTCTGAAAATAGTGTACCCCTAAACCCAATGGTTTTGCTGATCATTATCCCTATTAAATGGCTATTTCATTGGGAATATACCCTATTTTCAGACAAACCCATTTTAACTTTTAACTGATAGTGTAAACCTCGCAGCCTTGACTAGCGCTCCAAACATCGACTGCCAAAACAAAATTTGGATCGTGACTCTCCGCTTCGTACTAAGTGCTTGGCTTCTTTCGAAAAGCTGCCTGAGATTTGGAAAAATCAAGAACCGAAACACTGCTCAAATAGGGGTATTCCAAATTTTGAGGAACCCCAAAATACCTATTTTTGTGGTAGTTTTATGTAATTCCATGAAATTCTAAGCTACCTTAAAGGAACAACCAACGATGTTTGCGCTCACAGCGCATCCTTTTCAACTCACTGCAAGTTCTATGGCTCCTTCACCACATTCATTAACCTTCCATGGCCCAAAAAACCATGAATTCTGCCACCTTTGGGCAGGTCGGTCATCCCTTAGCCTTTGAAGGTCGCTTCATCACAGTCATCTTCACCTTCTTCTGTGCTTTCTTTGGTGCCGCAGGTCGTTTCATCCCGGCCGCTTTGGGCTTCGACTTCGCCTTCGTTTTGGGCGTCGCCTTTTTGGATGCTTTGGGGAGCTTGGCCCGAGCCTGGTGCTTGAGGCGGTCACCCAGAAAAATGTCAAACATCCATGTGTTTTTTATTTTTAGTCTCATGTCAGGGATAGAACAACAATGAATCTACCAAAACCAGTTGTTCGATGGAAAATAAAAATCAATCATCAATAATCAATAATCAACAAGCAATAATCAATGATATTCATCATGATAAGGATCATTATCATGATCATTATCGTGACCATAATCACCATCACCATCACCATCACCAGCACCATCACCATCACCATCCTTATGGTAAAACAAACGATTCAATCAGTGGGCACCAACACATTAAATAACGCCGCCATCCTGGTGCTGGGGTACCCCAATTTCACGAGATTATTGTCAGTCTCCCCATCATCTAACGGCCATTTACCGGGGTAAATCAAACATTTTGGACATATAGTCGAAAGATATATATATATAGAACATGCATTTAACAGTATGTTTCGTAGTATTCTTCTTTTCTTATCTATTTTCAGTGGAACTACTAGATTTACTTACTATTCAACAACAGATGTGCCAGAATGCCCAAAAATGGGCCCTGCCTTCTTCACAAGGTCCAACGCGGTCTTCTCCGAAGCTTCGCACTCCTTAAGCTTCTGCTTGGCAGTTTCCACCTCTTTCTTCCTCTCCACCAGCTGAGCTTCAGCTGCATCCACTTCCTGCGGCTTCAGCTATGGGTGCCCCAAGGACTAGAGCAGAAACTTAAATACTACTTTGACAAATAACATAGCGGTAAATAACGTATCTCTCTTTTTTTGAGGTTACAATGTACATATATATATATGTATGTATGTATATATATATATATCATATAATATAGGTATATATATACATATTATACTAGTAGTAGTCATTCAAACAGGGAGAATGATTCTTCGACAGTACCCTATATTCAAACAAAGCTATGATACGCTATGTTGATTTCTTTTGAAGCATAACCAAAATTCAGGCGATTACTCACCACCAGTCCCATATTGGCAATACCTATCCCATTGATTCCGGTAAATCCACATAAAATTCCCATAGAACCCCTATTACCCTCTGGTAAATTAACATAGACCCTGGCAAATAGGGATTGGAAGACTAGTTTCCATTAACAATTGATGACTTTCAGGGTCTATGTTTATTTACCAGAGGGTAAATCCCCATGAAATCCCGGTCCTTCTGCACTTTCTGCCGCTCCAGCGCCTTCCTTTCTTCCTTCGTCAGCTCCCTGTTCAGCTCCTTCCGGGTCTCCTGGCACAGCGCAGCCCAATCGCCCAGGACCTCTGCAGCGAAGTTGTGCTCCGGAGGACCAGTGACGTAGCTCCAGCTATTGTTCTCAATCAGCTGCAGGAAGGACTCAATGAAGTCCTACAAGCTGATGCCACAGGTGGAAACCTTCGCCCAGTTGCGTTGATAACTCCAATTTCACTTGGGTTTATAGTTAGTAGAAATGAGGGTTATTAACCAACTTCTAACTGGGGGGCAGCAAGTTGTAAAGACATGGATGGATGAAACGGAAAGCATATGGGACATGATACTTTAATTATCAAATATGATTCAATTATGATTGCAATTTGCTTAGAACATTTCACGATTCCATTTCAAATTCAAGACGGGAATAGAACAAAAAAATACAAAAAAAACATTCATCTCTATATAATATACATATTCAACAGATTCTTAAAGCGTCTGAAACCTTCAACAAACCAAGCGACATCTTCCCAGGTCCCCCAGCTCCTGCGTCTCGGTCTTGTCTCTCAGCCCTTGCTGGACCTCTGCTGCAAGATCCAGAAAGGCCCTTTTCAGCTCGGCGTAGAGACTCTTCCAGTCAAATCCAGGAGCAGCCATGATCCCGCCATCACAAATACAATCCTCGGAGCTGGGGAAGCACAAACCGGGAAAGCCTGGGAAGCTAGGCGTAAAGCGTAAAAAACCTTCATAAATGTGACTTGAGTTATTACGCTTACGTGGTAAATATATGTAAATAGTAATATAAGAATATATAAGACAGAATATATGTCATGTATAAGTCTCACATAAAAAAGCATTGAGAACTACTAATAAGCGTATGGCTATAATCGCCCAGAATCAATGACTCCCGCAACGAGCTCTGCCCTGGCCAGAGGCTCCTTCACGATGGTTGCTTGAGTCAGGGCACTCTCATGAAGAGAGTAGGTGGGACCCCTGATTCGACTGAACCAACCTCCATGTTTGCGTCCTTCTCGACCCACCGCCTTTTCATACTTCTCAAGATACTTTTGGGCGTCTTCCAATGTGGCGCCGGGCTGCAAATTCGCCACCATCTGGAAAGTGATCCGGGCTATCTGAGCCGCTGACAATCGTACCTCTACAGCCTACTATACTGCCTAGTGGATTGGGGTTCATGTCCATTTCCTGGGATTCACGTGGCCATCATAAGCGGTATCAGCCCGAACAAATCAACTTATGTTCATCTCTCCCTTAGCAGGGCATCAACTCTTTGAACCTGCTGAGCCAGCGTCATCACAAGGAGGCTTTGACTTTGGCATGGGTGTTTCCCAATTTCGGGGACCCCAAGACCATCCAAAACCCTTGGGGCCCTTGGGTGGTGCCCAGCCCCTCCCAAGAAACAAAAAAAAGATCTGACCTGGGTCAAAGAAGTCACCACCTGTCTGCCTCAATTAATGTGTAGCCCGCGCCAGAAGAGTGGGCCTGACTTTAGCAGCTGGTGCATCGCTTTGTGGATCCTCTCAAGTTCTTTTTTTCGATCTAACAAGAATGACTTTAATTCCAGGAATTTAAAAATTGTATAACACCACAAACGATGCGAATCTTAGCCCAAGTTCTTCAAACTTTTACCACTTTTTCATGAATTGGTGGTCACTCAGAGTACCAGCCGCTGCGACCAAAACACCAGGAGGTCTTCCGTCTTGTTTCGCCCACCGGCCTACGGGCAACCACTGAAGCCAACACCGGAACTCATTTTTCCAGTACAGTGGAATTTCTTAAAATGGGACCACTTGAACCATTGGTTTTCTCCTTTAAACATGAAAAAATTGGGGTGATAACTTGGGGTCCTGCCAGTTGAAGAAACCTCCAAATTACCATTTGGAATTGCGCTGCGCAGTGTTCAAATCCCGAAATGTGCTCCCTTGATACTGGTTGACTAATACGACTTTCCACAAAGGATGATTTTAGTCCCCAATCTATTGGATATAGTATTATAAATTATAACCAAATATAATCATTAGCCAAGAGGGGTTTTGAACACTCTTCGGGTGGTGACTCACAAGCGTTGAAGCAGGGTGCATGCGCCAGTGGGTAAATTGCTCTTTGGTCTTGCGTGGATGTTTGCGAAAATCACAAAGTATTTTTCGCAACCTCCGGATAGATAGAAAATTTGGAAAACTTCAAAATTCTGGAGGAAACATCATCTAGTCATCTACAACATTCTGGAAATTTTATTCTATCTTTCTGGGGACCCATGTATACCGTGTGCAGTAAGATCAAATAAGATTAGTAAATCTTGAGATGGGTACATCGTCGCATCGTGCAGGATCTCAGAATTGGGTGACACCAAACGCAGACTCAACGGTGGGTGGATCCAACATCTTCGGACAAGCGATAAATCAGCAACACATGGTCAAAGTACGTCA